GGCAGTGTCACTGGCCCTCACATGTGGGATCCGAACCGGGGCCCTCTGGCATCCCAAGCGAGTTCTTAACCATCGCGCCACTCGGCCGGCCCAAGTCCAGTTTTTTCTTGAATTGTGTATTTTACTTTTTAACTCCCCCTCTTATTTTGTATGCCTAATCTTAATTCCAAAGTTCTTGACTTACAAAATTCAGGCAACCCAACAAATTCTATGGCACCTTTTCCTCTGAGCTAAAGGTAAGAGTATTTTAAAGCACTGAAACACACACAGAGACACACACACTCTAAACTATTATAGTTCAGTAAATATAAAAGCAGATGTCAACAAACTTTTATAAATAGGCAAAAATCTAAAATTCATCTAAGAATACAAGAATATACCTTGTAATATTGCCTAGTTTCATCACATGCTTGCTAGGTAGGCAGTATCCTCATTTTTAAAAAATCTACAAACCTACATAGTAGAATCAACCAAACGGCCCAGGTCATGCAATAAGACAATATAAAAACTGAATAGCAATCCTAATTTCTGTACTGGACACAGGTAAACCATATCTACATTGTGTCTTGGGCAAACTATTTTTTCTCTTGTGTCTTCAAGCTGTATGAGACTTTTTGTCAACCTTTATTCACTCAACCACTCAACAAACATTTGATCAGTATCTTCTATGTGCCAAGAACTGTGTTATGTGCTAGGAAAAGCTGTTAAATAATTGTTTTTAACGAGAATTTCTTTTCATCTTGTTAAGACTTTGATAGAAATGTGTTTCCCTCTACGAGTAATAATAACTTTCCTTTTTAAAAAATAAGCAGCATTTAGTAATCTAATGATTAAATAATTGACAAGGGAGTTAGGAATTTGCAGAATTGGTTTATTATTGGTTTTGTGTTCTTACCTTAGGGCAAAATCAGTATGATTTTCAGTTTTGCAGATCCATGACTTTTAACAAATACAGGGTTCTGGGTATTCTTAAAAACCTCTGCTTTTTAAAATATTTTATTGGGGGATTGGGGCAGGGGAATAGTATTGGGGAATTGGGGAAGGGGAAAGCCAAGTTGTTGTCCTTCAATCTTAGTTGTGGAGGGCACAGCTAGCTCAGCTCCAAATCCAGTCACCATCTGGTCACCGGTCAGCAGCTCGCAGCTGCTCAGCTCAAGGTGCCATGTTCAATCTTAGATACGGGTAAGCATAGCCCACCATCCCATGTGGGAGTCGAACCGGCAACCTTGTTGTTAGGAGCACGTGCTCTCACCAGCTGAGCCATCCTGCCACGTGTTGGCAGCTCATCAGCAGCTCATCTCAGGCGCAGCTCACTGGACCATGTGGGAATCGAACCGGCAATCCTGTTGCTCAGAGCTCACACTCTTGAGCAAGCTCTTAACCAACTGAGCCACTCACCAGACGCCTGCTTTTGCTTTTGCTTTTTTTTTAAGGAACAGTGGCAAGGAAACTGGGCTCATACTTGAAAGAAATCATTTACAAAATAGAAAAATAGTACTTTTTACTATTTGAGGTTTTTAAAAAATTCTATTGTCTTCTAATTTCCAAACATTGTTTTTATTATTATTTTAAGGCAATGTGGATAAAAACAAAGTAGGAAGTACTTTTATCTACTGCTGGTGGGAGTGATAAATTGGCATAATCTTTCTGAAAACAATTTGGTAGCGTGTATGTATCAAGAGCTTTAAAAAGGTTCATTCCTTTGGACTCAGTCATTGTCCTTCTAGGAATCTATTACTTTCCCAAATAGAAATTTGGAAAAAAGATGTATGCGCAAACATGTCCAAATAATATTATAATAACCAAAAAAGGGAAAATAAATGCCACAAACAT